TTTCCCGCCCAGTGGAAATTAGGATTGAATCCGCCTATAAACTGGCTTATTTTGGCAAAGTCGTACAGCAAACAAAGCAAGCTAGTTGTTACTAAACTTACTACTAGTTATTTGAAGAACTGAAGAGATCCAACAAAGCATTAAGCTCTCAGAAAATAAGGGGAAGTTGAATAGGCTTAACTAGAAGTAGAACAAGTAGACAGAGTAGTGACTAGAATTTGAGCAAGATATTAACAGGAAAATCATTTTTAAAGCTAGAACGCTAAGTATAACAATGCCTTAATCTGACGCTTGAAATTTAGCATTAAGTAACGCTCTTATGATTTGAAAGAATTCTTTAAAGAGTAACAAATGTACTGACTACGATACAGCAGCCGACTTTAGCGAGGATCATGGAGGCAAAATGCCATCAATACTCAGCGAAGAAGAAGTTATTCCAACAAATCTGTCTAGACAGTAATCTCTGGCAGTAACCCTTGTTCTCGTTACCGCAGTCGCTAAAATGTCTTCTAAACTATTCAGCCATTCTATTACGTTTTGAAAAATTTAAAAAACTCAGAAATAATTCAAAGTGTTTGAAGATAGCTACAGTGAACTAATAATAAGGTATTATAGAATATTCTGCTTTACATATGAAATACTATCTGGTCTTTCATATAACGGCTTTTGGAGCGGTCATGAAAAGGTTGGTTCAGGTTGGAGATGGTTGGATGGAAATCAACACAACGTAACATTTTGGAAAAGCGGTCATTCTAAACTTGATGGAAGGCATGTTGTGGTGAAAAAATGTGGTGAATGGGTGTCAGTTGATAACGAGACATGTGCTGAAGCTGTATGCATCATTAGAGGTTTGTTAATTGTCATTTCCAAATTTTAATAAAGATTTCTTGAGAGAGGCGGTAAAAAACTGGTAATCAGTGATGCCAGACGTGTCCAAACAGCTCTAGTTTGATATGAACTGCATTAAATTCTTGAGCATCTATACAGATCAAAGTAAGTAGAGGCGATTTTACGTACAATAACGTGCAAAAAAGCTTTTTTGAAAACGTATTCTTATAAGCGTCGTTAGTTAGCTTTTTCTTTCTCACTACTTTAATGTAAGAAGTAGGACAGCTGAGTTAGAGGAGTAAATAAAAATTTTATATCTTTCAGAAAAGGATAAAGGCGATAGACGTTGTGCAAAACCTCAAGGTCAAGCCAGCGATAGGTGTTATGACGACGTTTGTTTTCGAACTGTTACAATCTCTGATCTATTCACTTCCAAAAATACTGACCGTTTTATTTCAGTATTGAGCAAATTCAGAGTGTATTTTCACTAATATTGTAATTCTCAATGTGGAAAATTTTTCACTAAAACAAAAAATAGATTTCAGTGTGGTAATGCGATTGAAGAAATTAAACGAATTAAATGTTTTAGGCTCCTCGCGATAGGCAGGCCTATCGGAAGTCTAATTTTTAAGATTTAATTGCAATTGATGAAATGTTAAGGGGTTTCTGGATCAATGAAGAGATGCTAGCTTATCGTGAAAACCAAAGTCGTCTGCATACTGCATCTGAAAATGAGCTACAGGAAGAGTTAAAAGGAAGCAGCTTGCGATGAAGGAAAAAGAGCATAGAGTCTCCTACTGGAAATAATTTATCAAAGCTTTTATCAATCATTATATAGCCTAAAGACACTAAAGGAAAGATCGCTTCAAATTTCGAGGAAAATATGAAATTAAAAGCAGCGTCAAGTTACCACAGATAAAAAAAAAGCGAAAAACTGAGTTCATCGACTCTGTCAACATCAATTTTGACTAGTTCATTTTCAAACTACAAAAATGATGAAGAGGGTATCAGGTATTAAGCATATAAGCTTAGGATTTTTCAGGTTTTTAGCTAGTTTCAGCGTGAGAGGAAAATTTAAAAAATGTTTTTTTTTCTGACGAAAGGAATTTTGAGAGTACGAAATATGTTGCGAATACTTCTGATACAGTGCAGTGGTAGAGAACAATCAATTTTTTTAATTTGAACAATTCAAAACTGTTAAGTTTTGTTTTCAATAACTCGAGAATTTCTTCGCAGTTGAATATTTTTTGCACTCATAATTAGACAAAATGTGAACTTAATGGCAGTCAATGATTGTTGCTGACACTCAACGTCTGTACATTTGAAGAGCTTTCAAAAGCAACATCAAAGATACCATAATTCTTTTTTGACTATTAAAAAAGCTAGTTGGAAAAAAGGTTTTACTAGATATACCCACTAGGGGACTGCAAAGTTAAATAGATTTGGAAAAATGGAATGAAAATCTGCCGTTTAATTTTCTACTCTAATTGTCTTTGAAGTCCATTTAATCTAAAATTCATTATTTTCTACCTCTTCGTCACCAGTTTTAATGATGATATAAACTTGTCCCTTAAGAGACCGCACTAGCTACCCGAGCCATACGGACAGTATTATTCAGTTGAATAACGTTCGGTACGTCATAAGTATCAGTTATAAAAATTAATGTACC